TAAATAGGGGATCAAGCTAGGAAGCCAGCAGATTGTGTTGAATCTTCACTTCATCACGGTTTCCCATCCTGAGCAGCACGTTGGCAGCAGTGGAGAGAAAAAAAAACTCCCTTCAAGCAGGAAGAAACCTCCAGCAGAACCAGGCTCAAGACGGGCGGCCATCTGCCTTGATCCGTTGGGTTTGGGGGGAACAGGAAACAGACAGAGAGTGACCACAAAAGAACCGGTCCACGTGTATGAGGGTGGAGATGGGGTGGAAGTGGCACAAACACAGATCAGGGCACAGGTGTGACCAAGGATGCAGAGCCTTATAAGCGTATTTTTGCATGCTGATTGGCTGCGGTGAGGAGAGGACCTGCAGATGATTGTCTGCAGCTGGGAGCATGACATGGCGGTTGGATGGAGCATGTGAGGTGGGAAGGGTATTCACTTTGAATTTGCGCCTAAGCTTCATTTTTTTGGGTTTTACGCATGACTTCCTGTTAGGGGCAGCTGTGCAGCAGTGGTAGGGCTACTAACTTGGGACCAGAAATTCACAGGTTCAATTCCCATCCATACCCACATGTCCTAGTGCCCTTGAGCAAGACACATAATCCCCAACTGCTCCCCAGGCAGCTTACATACAGTAGCTTCCCTCTAATCCACATGGGGGTTTCTCACAGTGAAATGCYGAGCACAAAGTTCATCACTGTTGTCTGAAAGCTTATTTATTAATTATTTTATAATGTGCATGCATTGCATTAAGTATAACAGATTTTTATAAYTGTGTTAAAGAATGATAGACACAARCTGTGATGTTTAGCAGCGGAGTTTTCCTGTTTTACATCAGGAAACTATACAGTCAGTGTGAAAATCCAATTAAGGGGTCCACAATCMGATCTAAATSAAGTTTCAACMAGAGTGAAATCTTCTTCACCTACGYTTTAACCTAAAGCTTTTTGTAAATATTTCATGTTACAAATGGTCATAACCTCTCTGATAAAATTATCAATCCATTTTGTAACAGAGCACAAGATTTAAATGGTTATGATTTAATGAATGTTTAATGCACTTGAAAAAAAACTATTTATTTACCGTTATTTTACCAGGCAAGTCCCTTTGAGATGTCAGATCTCTTTTTCAAGGACGGCCTTGGCATGAAGGCAACCTATTGTACATGTTTTGGGGGGGTTGGGGAAACTGGAGTACCCAGAGAAAACCCACACAAGCATGAGGAGAACATGCAAACTCCACACAGAAAGACCCCAGGCCCAAACCGGGGATCGAACCCAGGACCTTCTTGCTGTGGGATGTCGGTGCTAACCACTGAGCTGTCATGCCGCCATAATATCTGAGCATCTGTTTTCACGATTTTCACTTTATTCATTATCTTAAAAAATCAAGCTTTTCATTCATTTTAGGAAGAGGTGATTTGGTTTCCTAACATAAAAGGAAACCAACAGCTATCTAAACACAAACAACAAAACAAAGTATTGTGCAGCTTTAATGCTTATAGCCTTTATTTTCACTTAGCTTTTTTTCAAATTAATGTACAAATGTAATGAAGGTGAGATAAGTGATTTGTTCTAAATGAGAAGATATCGGTTTAGCTGGAAGATTCRTATCACAAAAAAAGTTGGTCTGAACTTAAGTATCTAGCCTGTTTGTGATTAAAAGTGAGCAAATAAAAAAAGAAACAAAAGAGGATTTATGAATCATTGCAGGCAAATCAAAATTTTAGGTTTTAATGTCAGCTTTAGGCAAAGTGTGAGGTCACACCACCTGCTGGTTGCAACAAAACATTTATTTGCTAAAATTGGTTGCAGGCTAGCTTCTTCACCATGAGTCTGGTTATTCAGGCATGATGGCAACAGTTTATGGTGCACYGTCTTCCTGAAGGTGTCCCATTGGATCATCCTAATCACTACCCCATGTAAGGCCAATATGGAGGTGAAAGAATGAGCCTTAAAATACTGCAATCAATGAAGATCTGAAGTGAATTAGAGAAATTTAGACCTAAAAGTCATGAAAAGGTCACATCAAATGATCAAACTCAAATTCCTCTGAGCTGAAAAGAAAAACTTTTCCTGTAAATCATTTTAAAAAAGTACTTTACTTTACTTTAGTTATGAACTTTTTTGAAGTCTAATCAACTGATCTCTGTGACCTCCACTGTTCAGCAAATGCTGTGTTGCTCATTTCTTTGTGTCTGATGATAATATATTCACAAACTTCACACAGCCTCATTATTGACCAAGTTGTTTTTTTATTTTTTATTTTTCTGCTGACCAGACAACTGAATGAATAATTAGTGTCTAATTAGAACCACGGTGAAACACAGAATGTAAAAATTGCTGATTTAAAGGTTTGTGAGAACGCTGGGGTGAAATGTGTGGCTCTTTATAACACACGTGTGTACATCAACTATTGTTTATAATTTTCCAGCATTAGAGCATGTTTTCCAACTTGCTGGGCTTTGAATATTCACACCCGTAATGTATAATTTTCAGCGGGTGTAAACGATTCAGAAAATTAGCTTAATAAGGGTTGAATAAATGCAGAGCTGAGAAGATTATAATTTCCTGCTTCATTATTAGATTCATGAAGGATGAATAATAAGAAACCAAACTGCTCTAATCCATGTGTATTTACCTAAACTGAACTGAAAATCATTTTACTAAGTGTTTGATGTGACTTAAAAAAAGAAACAAGGACCAAATATTTTATTCATTTTCAAAATTTTATTAATATGTAGAAAATGTATTAAAAAAGGAACTATATAGTACAGGTTTAAGTTAAACTAGAGCTAAATTTGACAGCAATATCCAAGGTTATCCACCAATCAGTCATTCATGTCAGCTTATACGAGCTTATCAAACAGTCAAAATCCACATTTTAACATTTACATTTCCATGCCAGCAAGATCTCAGGATTGACTGCAGTCACGTATTCTCAGCTGATCAAGCTGTGAACATAAAACCATTTCTTCATTTGTTGATTTTTTCTTATTAATGACATACTGGCCCTTATGTGGCTGCAGTCACAAAAAAATAAAAATAAAAAGTAACAACGTAGAATTAAATTAAACAAGTTTTCTGTACAAACAATGATAGAGTTTAAACACAATCTGGTCATTGAGGCTCAGTCTTAGTTTAAATGACAGGGTAAAGACTTGTAAAACAATGTTATACAGTACATTGAACAGATAAAATTTTACATTCTGGAAAAAAAAAYACAGACAAAATACAGCCAATTCACATTATCTTTCCCTCCTTCCAAGAAACTGAAGCTAAGAGGAATGATGTCACATTATATATATTTGAGGCGCCATTTTTTAATTATTCGAGGTGCGTGTCCAAAATAAAACACATTTGCACAATAGATCATTTCGTACTTAAAATAGTTACAAATGCGCAAGGCAGCCAAGCTCACATTTGCTAATATAAACACTGAGGTTGAAATGAAAACGCCACTGGAACCCATTTAAATTCAAATGGTAAATGTATGCCGTTATACAGACTCTAAACTGATCTGTGTTAAACTTTCCTTTAGGATCGTATGTGATTTTTCATAAATATCTTTAAGCCTTAAATGTTTTTTGAGCTTCTTAAATTTTCTGTGTTTCCACCTAAAGCTCTTTGTTCATATACTGTATATTAACCTGTGACCTGGAAATGTTAAGTCCCATTATGCGCATAAAAAAACTACAAAATGATCTATTCTGGTTCACATCTTAAAAGGAAAAATAAAGTGTAATACTACTAAATTTATTTATTACATGTGCAATACAATGTTGTGGTAATTCCATGCAATAGAGGTTTTTAAACCAATGCAAAGCAAAGAAAGTTAACATTAAAAAGTAAGATCAATTGAAATAAAACAGCTTTAATTGTAGGATTTAAAAAAACCTCACTTTGTGCAATGAGAGAACGTCCCACAGCACAAATCACACTATTTCTTTTCTACAGAGCACCTGACCTTTGTTCACTTGTACAAAACCCAAGGAGGAAAAACATCTTCTATATTAATGAAATAATACTGAGAGAACACTCTACTCTAAATCACTTCTCAAAATTTATTGCATGAGAAAATCGGAAATATTTTGACAATAAAAAAAATTGCTGACCAAGGAAATCTCCTATCTTTATAAGCCATTTAAAGAACAACTTTCTCCCAGACTTACAACAGAAACAGAAACACGAGCCAAACTGAATGAGGTCTCAGGACATAAGTTTCTGACACTCAGGCTCTTGGTTGTGTTTTAATCGACATGCAGAACACTCCATCCCACCGTTAGCACAGCAGTAGTCAAAAATACAGTGTTTAAAAGAGAAATGCTAACAGGGCATTCTGAATTGGTTTGCAGCTAAAGGAGTAACACAACAAAAGACAGGTAAATGCCATATCTACATACATATATTGAAAGTCATTAAGGGCAGAGTTACTATTGTTTTCAAGTCTAATGAGAAAAAAAATATGCACAGTAAGATTAGTTTAATGGAACAATTAAACAAGTATAGAAGAGAAAGACAAAAAAGAGATTATTCAGTACATGAAACCAAATGTTGCTTGCAGCGATGGTGACATTAGTTCCATAAATTAAATTGCACAATATAATTTGTGTTTTCATTTAGTTGTGCATGGTTTGTCTTGGAGACCAGAACCATTTCCAGAAAGCTGCAGCCGACTGACCCCGAATGCTGCAGATTAACGCCCTCCTCTGTTTAAAACGAACACATTCCCAGCAGCTTCCCCCTTGATTGTTTCATTTCACTGAGAAGCTTAAATGGTGAATGGGAGACTTTGGCTTCACTCCACCTTCTGTTCTGCCTTTTTTTTTTGTGTCAAGTTCATTTCAGGAAATGGGGGAAGTGAAGCCAGTCTAAACTCTGCTAAACTCTCCCTCACCGTCTGCAGGGTTTAAAAAAACAAAGGCTGGGACACACAAATACTATGAAACATCCCAAAAGGTAGAACTATTGTCTAGTGATAGAAAGAAAAGCTGTTGTTGTGACTTAGACAATAAAATTTCTTGGCCTCTTTTCAATCAGCAAGTTTTTTTTTAATGCAGATCTTTGGTAAAACGTTCCATCTATTAGCACCATCTCTGCAAGCAATCCCCACATTTACAACAGGGTTAAAACGCTAGCTGCTATTTATTTCAAAAAAAGAAATCCAGTGATTTTTTTAATGCCCATGAACAACTATACAAATTCACTCAACTGAAAGAACAATAGCCTTGCTGTGCTTCCACTGTCAAAACAAATACTGTTTCAGTGTAGTTATTTTCACTCTGCCTAAATATGTACTGAACACAAATTAGTCAGCAGTAGACGTAACATAAATAAAGCAGAAGGCAATGAAGCTGTTGCTGGTGAACTGCTTTTTAAATGACAATTCTGGATCTTATTTTTTATGTGTTAGTTTTAATCCAAGTCCAGTATTTATCATCATATTTAGGTTAAATCAATCAAGGCTCAAAAACCAAGGCATCAAATCAGATTGAATAAATGGACTCTGTCACAACATTAGTTATAAAAATATAGATATATTACAGTTAAGAGGTTTAGGGCATATACAGTATGTTTTTTTTTCGAGTTAAAAGTGTAAAGTTGTATTAGTTAAAATAGCACTAACTCTCACACTCGAGGGCATTTCTGAGCACGTTTCCAGGCATTCAGAGGAAAAGGCAAATCACAGATTATTGTAAAACAAAGCGTCTTGGTTTTAGCCTTCCCCTTCTTCTTTTTTTCTTTCTTTTTTTTTTACAGCAAGTTGAACCATTGTCATTCAGAGCAGTTAATAAATTACATACATTGTCTTCTATCATTTGGGTAGAAGTACAGCAGGAAAAGGCAGCTGTCGCCTGCCAGGTGCAGAGATTACCGGTGTTCAGAGGCTGCTTTCTAATCTTATTCTTAATAATTACGATAGCAGGCTGGTAGTGTTTGAATTAATTGTTTTAGCAGACTTCAGGAAAATATTAATACTAATTATGTGTTTGCTTTTTGCAGCCTTGTTAAACAAGCATTGGTGATGTTTAATTCCAGCCTGCCTTTTGTCATCAGTGAGGCACACAGGCGGCAGAAACTTAACACCATCATCCAAACTCTGTTAAATCTCTGACTCTGACCTGGGCAGGGTGGGGTGGGGGTGGGGGGGGTCTGTTTATTCAGGGGCAGATCGTCTCCTCTTGCTGCTGATGCTACGGAAGTTGAACGGCCTCATCTTCATCTCAACAAAGGGAATGGAGAACTCGTGGCCTTTCCAGTGGTACCAGTTGATACCCTGTAACAGGGAAAATGTTATTTTTTATTTCGACGCTGCTCTAGTCTCTTTGAATTTCTTAGGAAAACATCGGCATCAGAGGAAATAACAGAACTTATTATTGACCAAAGTCCGAGGAGGAAAATGTTATAATTTCAGTAGAACGAGTTTGATTTCAGTTGAGAGAAGAACTCGGAGCAGGAGAGTCAAAAATGCTATTTACCAGCTAACACAATAACAACCTTAATCTAATTATAGCCACACTCCAGCCCTGCAAATCCACATCACCTTCTTTACCCTGCCATCCCGCAGCTTTACATTCATGTATGTACGTCTGTCTATCTCTGTTCCCACCTGTTCTTAGTTTAGGTTATCAAATGACCGAGAAAGGCGGGGAGCGGGGTGAGAAAAGCAGTGATGCTTTAAAGCCTTTGTGACTCAGCCTGGTCTTAGCTTCACACAACACATCACTGGCTTTCTACAGCCATTTCAGCATGAAGGTGAGAAAAAGCTGCACATCATGCTCTAGTTAATAAACTCCCAATACTCCTGTCTTTCCAGTTTTAAAAAATAAAAGGTGCCCATCTGAATTTGATGTTTTTCTCTGTCACAAAAATGCTTATGTTAAAAAATTGAGGTCAGCCACCGTTGTCTTGTGTAGAGGTTTCACTGAAAAAGAGCACTTTTCCCCCTTGCTTGAAATCCTCATCAGACCAATCAGGTAAAGAATGGAGACTCTTAGTTTCGTTTGATTTAATTTACTAATTATTAACCTTTCAGTTTGAGAGGTTTTAACCTTTAATCAGTGTTATAATGATGCCCTTTTATGTCAGTTTTGTAAATACCAAAATAGACTTTCAAAATGTCAACCTTATCAAATGAGGACATTTAGTTCAAGAGTGGGTTCATTCAAATTGCCAATAAAAAAAGAAAAAAAGGAAAAATCACTTTTCAACTCCTACCGCCACAAGAACAAACTGAGCTTAAAAGAATACCAGAGAAATTATCTCAGTAGAAAGTTTGTTTGTGAAAGCTGTAAAATTATGTTGAGTTTCAAAATATAAATACCACAATTTAAAAAAAAAAGATGCTGTCAGTGGTACAAAATCCAATATCACTCTGCGTCCATGTGCATTCATTTTGTTACACAAAAAACATGTTTCTGAGCTGCATACAACTCATAGTTTGTAGTCCAGAATTTCCATCCATTGTCAGCATTTAACACATTTTCAAACCGGCTGCCCAGAGGCTGGTTTAGCATCGCCTCAAAGAAAGCACATCCATGTGAGCAGTTGGCTCATGGTCTGAAATCACTTTCTTAGCAGAGCAGTTTGTCCATACAGAATGAGTTTCAGTTTTAAGCAAAAATTAAAATAAAAAAGGTGCTGCTTATTCCATTTCATGTTGCCCGTTAAGCTATAATGTTAATGGACCTGGAATCATCATTATTTAAAAAAGGGGCTGTTTTAATTTATAAGTGCAAATAAATAAAATAAAATGCAAATACTTGCACAGTAAAGATAATAAATGTGCACACAATAGTGAGTTGGACAGTAAGGATTAGTGCACTGTACAAACAAGCAACATAATGACTTCACCTAATGCCATAGTGACTTTCATTACAAGTGCTCATGTTAACATGATTGTTTCTGTGGGGTCTTTAAAACACCACATTTAAAGTTCATATTTATTATACAATTCACCATGGCTCAGAGCACAATACTTTTGATTCTTTGTCCTGATTGCTTACGGAGCTATAATTTATCTCAGATTTGTTCAATGTGTAAATCCAATGGCCTCAAAATGGTAAAGGGATTGAACTTTTATAGTGCTTTATCAAGTCCCTCCGGACCCTAAAGCGCTTTACACTTACAGACATTCACCCATTCACGCACACATCCACACACTGATGATGGTAAGCTACATTGTAGCCACAGCTGCGCTGGGGAACACTGACAGAAGCAAACAGTTCAGTGACCCAGGGGAAAGAGAAATAAATTGTACCTAAAGTTCTCCTTAAATTGTTCTATGAAGCACTCCTATTCTCTTTATTAAACAGAATTGGCTTTTTTCTTAACATTTCTTTATAATATTCATGCAATAAAATGGTGAGGATCTAAAAAATGTTGAGCTACTCAACATCTTTTTTTAATTTTTCTAACTAGATTGTTTAGATGCATTAGGACATAATGGTGATGATGTAAATTGTTTCAACAACAGCTAAAATTTTGAATGAAAACTCCTTTCTTTGTATATTGTAGCAACTTTTACATGGAGTCTTTCCTTAGATGCAACTTTGTGTTTTAGACTATGAGATTTTTTTATCTCCCTGGCAACTCATAAATACAAAATAAATGCTACTGTATGCATTTTGGCCTTGTTTTCAAAGATTCAAGATGCAAAAAGTACTTTGATTTTGATAACAGGTGGACCAACCTGGCTGTGTCTGGACTCGCCGTATTTGCCGTTCAGGTTGGCCCGATGGCAGTTCTTGTACCACCAGGCTCCTTTGTAAGACAAGGCACAGTTTGTGACAGCAATGTCATTGTCTCTGTCTTTAGTAGAAAAGGGTCGGCCCTGATGGTAGCTGAGAGAATCACCTGCAATCAGAGAAGATTGAGATGGAGAGATTTAAATACCCGCACAGCTGCTAGGAACAATTACAGAACTAAAGAAAAGGAACATGTAATTTTGGTGTATGCTCAAGTTGACAGGCTGAGAAATACATGAAAAGAGAGAGTAGAATTGTAGGGAAGTGATGAGGCTGGTTTGAAGAGAGGGAAGAAAATCTTAGAAAGTAGAAGGTATGGAAAGTAGTTTACACACAAAATTAAGGTTCAGATGTTAAAAAGCTGTCAGTGTTAAAAGTCAACATGATGTAAATGTGTGTGTTTAGTCTCATACCAGCAGTGCCATTGTACTCTCCTATCCTTAGCTTGTAGAGGTTTCTTGCATCGCCAATAGAGAACTTGTCATAATTAGCATAGACTGATTCCTGTCCATCTTTCATGTCAATTCTCAGCTCATAGCGGCCCTGAACAGCAATCTTCTGGATGTTGTCAAGACCTGCAGAGGAACATGACATTAGTTATATTCATAAATATGTTCTCTATTCATGAAATCTGCAGCCACGTAATGACTGGAAATGGTATGGTTTCCTTGTTTGGATCATCCAAAGCTAGATATTATTACATTAACTTATTAATTTGTTTTCTTTATAGTTTGGATTAGGGCAGCACAATATCAAGAAAATGTGTGATGTGTGATAACTGTGCATAATATTGGTATGACAAYATGACTTGTGATAAATAAACTAATACTTGAGTATTTAGTGTTATCTGTCTTCTCTGGGTTCAGAGCAAAATAAATAAATAAAAATAAAAACATCAACAACGAATACATCATTTCCATTCCAACATGACAGCTAAATACATCTGCTGTATTAGCAGTGAAACACCAAACTGCATGCAGTACAGTTTCTTAATGACTTTAAATCTCCCCCATAAAACATTTTCTGATGGTCTAAAGACAGAAAAATGGCCCTTACCAAGTTGTTATGATTTGATGTAGCATTTTATTTATTAGCCAAATGTTTGCAACTTTGGTTTCGCTAGTACTAGCTTTTTGGAACTCTTCATTCAGGTCTTTATGATTGAATTGAAGGTGACAGTGGAGATTAGTCGTGTTTCCTCTTGTGGTTGCCTCAAGTTTTTGCTATATCTTGCAAAGTACTTGTCTTTGTAGAACATAGTCTCTTGAAACCAAAATATCTGGCTTCTGGAGACATTCTGTTTTTTAACCACAAGTTGCTAACTTTTCCTCACATATCTTGCTCTCATTCATTGTAACTTTCACTAAGTTTGCACTCCCCCTAAGTCTATGTAGGGGGAGTGCATCTAATGTAAAAAGATCCATCTGATTAGCCAAATATGTGAAGGGATCTTTTTTGATTGGTCAAACACGTCAAACATTAGTGTGATTGCCAAAATGCACAAATACAAAAATTTAAAGCAACTATTTATTGCAGTTTATGTAGTTTCTTTCTGATGTAGCTATTGCGGTCAGTTATCAAGGTGACAATACATTTTCAGCTCTAGTTTGGACAACGCAGTGCAACTGTAAACTTCCATCAATAAGGAACAAAGTAAAATAGAAATCTGCACTTTTAAGACTTTCAGGTAGTTGTTTTCCTGGTTGTAACTTGAGGAAAAAAATAGGCTCCTTCTTCTAAATGTATCTATCTGGCAGTTTTTTCTCACCTTTCGTTTTCTGGGTTGATAGGTTGGATCTCGATAAGTGCCATGTTAGACATCTTTGTCAGCTGGTGTGTATGATTGACACCGTTGAGTGGTGGACAGTGTGGTCACATGCCCTCCTGCAAATACCACATGTTGCAACTTTCTGAGATAATGTGGCTTTGCCTGCTATCTCAAAGGCTGCAGATACGGGGTCTTGTTTGAGCTCCGACACGCGATAGGGCCCCACACCAACCTGAATGATTGGAACTGCCATTGCTATCAGATTACAACAAAATCCCATTTGGAAAAGAGCCCTCCTCTCTGGTTAAACTCCAGCAGATGTGTCACGTGTGCACTTTTGCTGAACGAACCTCGAGAATTAWTTTTTTTTGTGGGGGGTTGTCTCTGTCTCTGTCTTAACTGATAAGAAGTAGGAAGGTAGGGTAACAAAGTATGCTGTATTACAGTATGTCAATAGGAAGCAGATAAAATCTATGTTACAACACAGAAGCACTTAGTGTGGCAGAGGAAAAGCAATTGTTGTAATAAAATTGTGTTTAACACTCAGTCACCTCTAATTTCCACTGTATAACATCACAGTACTATCAGCAATTAATGCACCACACATCATTTTTACAGTTCTTTTACAGCTTGATTCCTAACTGGAGCCATAGGAAATACATTTTGACACATCACTGAACTGTCGTGCTATTATATCACATTTTATTACCGGCCTTTCTCTCACACATAATGTCGAAACAATGAAGGGGGGCATTAAAACAAAAAAGAAGAAGAAAAAAAGAATGGGATAATGATTACAGATCGCTCACAGCCAGCTGAGTTTCTCTTTAATTACACCATCAAATTCACACTGTGTTCAGCAGAGGTCAGGCAGGAAGAGGAACAGACAAAGAGCAGCATTAAAAATGTCCGTTCTCGAGCTGCAACAGATAATCAAGATAGTCTTTACTGCTGGACAGTTAAGTGTTTCTTCTTTTCAGTTTGAGTAGATTCAATATCAGTGTTTATGGTTCCTATTGTGCAGTAAATTGTTATTCTGTGTGCAGAGGTGGTAATTAGCTGAGTGTTCAATGAAATGGCTCCCCAAGGCTTCAGCAGTGATCTAGTCACTTGAAAGAGGAGTGATGGTCATGTGCAGCTGAGCTGCACTGACCCTCTGTAGGACTTCACTATTTATTCCTTTTAATGGATGATTAAATGCTGAGGTCACCTCGTRTTGAATAGTTAAAAAAAATAAGACTCAATGCTATAAAATTGTGATCTCTGACTTCAGTAAAACCAGTAACAGTTACCTATAATTATGTTCTACAAAATGTAAGAACTGATGTCTAAAGATAATTGCAATCATTGTCCAAAATATGTCTAATACTGGCTGAGTGATGTTTTAATAACTGGAGTTTAAAAGACTGTTTGGCTCAAAATTACTTTAATATTCTAGTGTTCATGCAAGGCATGGAAGGTTTTCAATTTATTTACACTCACCGGCCACTTTATTAGGTACACCACGCTAGTAACGGGTTGGACCCCCTTTTGCCTTCAGAACTGCCTCAATTCTTCGTGGCATAGATTCAACAAGGTGCTGGAAGCATTCCTCAGAGATTTTGGTCCATATTGACATGATGGCATCACACAGTTGCCGCAGATTTGTCGGCTKCACATCCATGACGCGAATCTCCCGTTCCACCACATCCCAAAGATGCTCTATTGGATTGAGATCTGGTGACTGTGGAGGCCATTTGAGTACAGTGAACTCATTGTCATGTTCAAGAAACCAGTCTGAGATGATTCCAGCTTTATGACATGGCGCATTATCCTGCTGAAAGTAGCCATCAGATGTTGGGTACATTGTGGTCATAAAGGGATGGACATGGTCAGCAACAATACTCAGGTAGGCTGTGGCGTTGCAACGATGCTCAATTGGTACCAAGGGGCCCAAAGAGTGCCAAGAAAAGATTCCCCACACCATGACACCACCACCACCAGCCTGAACCGTTGATACAAGGCAGGATGGATCCATGCTTTCATGTTGTTGATGCCAAATTCTGACCCAACCATCCGAATGTCGCAGCAAAAATTGAGACTCATCAGACCAGGCAACGTTTTTCCAATCTTCTCTTGTCCAATTTCGATGAGCTTGTGCAAAAGTAGCCTCAGTTTCCTGTTCTTAGCTGAAAGGAGTGGCACCCGGTGTGGTCTTCTGCTGCTGAAGCCCATCTGCCTCAAAGTTCGACATGTTGTGCGTTCAGAGATGCTCTTCTGCCTACCTCGGTTGTAACGGGTGGTTATTTGAGTCACTGTTGCCTTTCTATCAGCTCGAACCAGTCTGCCCATTCTCCTCTGACCTCTGGCATCAACAAGGCATTTCCGCCCACAGGACTGCCGCTCACTGGATGTTTTTTTCTTTTTCGGACCATTCTCTGTAAACCCTAGAGATGGTTGTGCGTGAAAATCCCAGTAGATCAGCAGTTTCTGAAATACTCAGACCAGCCCTTCTGGCACCAACAACCATGCCACGTTCAAAGGCACTCAAATCACCTTTCTTCCCCATACTGATGCTCGGTTTGAACTGCAGGAGATTGTCTTGACCATGTCTACATGCCTAAATGCACTGAGTTGCCGCCATGTGATTGGCTGATTAGAAATTAAGTGTTAACGAGCAGTTGGACAGGTGTACCTAATAAAGTGGCCGGTGAGTGTATTTTTACTTGTAAATATTAAACTCTACCTTGTGTTTCYAGTGAATTTGCACGATTTCTCTTATCAATCAAAGAATGTTTTCCAATGTCAAACTCTGGTTTGCACATGCATAACCCAACATTTTTCAGACGATGGCAGCTTTGGTTTAGAGTTTCAATAATTTTGTTTTTAATCTTGCTTTTGGCTGCAGTTTGAACATTTTGTGCCCAGAACAAACTTCCCTTCCATCAGCAGCACAGTTGTAAACTTGTTTTCTTGCCATTGCAGTCATTTTCAAATGTTTTGGCCTGACATTCTAATGTTTGGGAAAGGCAGTCGTCAGTGTTTGATTTTAGGCTGATTAGCACTGTGGGTATTTTTTTCTCTTTCTTGCACAAAAAAAGGCTTCCTTTGTTTTCGTAACAAGATTTTTTCTTTATATAAAGCATACAATCTTATAGTTTCTCTTTTTTGGTCAGATTGTCTGTCCTTAATCATCTTGCTGTTTTGCATCCTTGTTCATGTTAGTGTTTCTTTTTCTTGCAGAGATCTCTCTTTGCTTTTGGGTCTTTCCAAGAACATACCAGCCATTACCTGTGACTGCAAGGTTAACAAGTCATTTTTAAAGGTTCTTTGAACACCCAAGTTTTATTTTCAGAATGATTTTTTTTCCACAACTGTGACATACTCAGGACACTTGCCAGCCTTCATGGGAATAAATCATCCTAAAGTCAAGCCGTGCAATGCTCACAGAATGGGCAGAAAACAATGAACAAGATACATGTCACAAACTGGTCTTGGCTAGTTTAATAACTAGTTGAACACATGGACAGCAAAATTGGAAAACAGACTAAAAATGCTCCAAACAAACCCAAAAAGTTAATAACTTGGCATTGCATTTTGGTTATCAGAACTCTATTTAACAAAATTACAAATCACAAAGTTTCTGCAACAAAATTAAACCAACAATGTCGCAAATGTCCAAATGCAGACAATCCTAAATAAATACAAACTCATACTCTCATAGCTTAAAAAGATTACTAAAATAAAACTGTTTAATAGTATTCTTATTATTTTGATGTGACTATTTTGAGCTCTAGTCATTTGTCTAATGTGACATTGTTATGCTGCTGCCACAACTGCCACATTGTGTGCTTTTTGTTGGGGCGACTATGTTCCATGCGGGGATGCTGTCTGTAATCTTGAACTATGGAGCAGCTCTTGATGCTCCACACCCCAAGGTTACATTAAGATGCTTTTATGCACTGAAAGGRTAAAATTAAAGCACAAACAAAAAAAGAAAAGATAAAAACATGAAACCAGGGGAGAGTGCAGCCTGGGAGGCACATACAAAGTAAAGCAAGGGCCTGAAGATGAAAGTACTCTATGTTGTGAGTTCAGATGAGGTGAAAGGGCAGATTATGGCTGATTCTGCTGTAGCAGAAACAGGTCAGATAAAATATTGTGCTCACTGAGCTACATATCAGCAGGGCTCTCATGGCTTTATTGTAGTGAAACTCCCATAAAAGTCTGGTCAAATCTACCAGTGTGGTTCTATGTGATGCCTTCAGGTGCCACGGTGTAAAAAATAAATAAAATAAAAGCCTTCCTGTCACCCCACATCCCTTTCTGTGCTCTTGATGCTTTAAAATGAGGGAAAAAACTGAATTCCTTTCATCTACAGTGAGCCTGTGCTTTAGTGGTGAATCTAATTTTGTCTTTGTTGAAAAACAAAACAAAATAAATCATTGATTGATGCCAGCAGTTTACCATTTCTTTTGGAATTAAAATGTCTAAAAGCTACATTCGAAAACATGTTTATGTAAAAAAGAACATGAAAAGTTTTATCTAATTCAACAGAACAAAGTACAGCTTTAAAAGTATCCAGTACAAGATGTATTTTAAAAGTATTACCCATTTTGTCAGCTTTCGTCTGTGATGAGTTTTCTTTTGCAATTTAACGTCTGTCACCTGCAATGCAATAGTCAGACACCTAATGTTCTTATGTTACTTTTAAGTAATCAAACAACCTCATGTTTCTTATTCGTTTGATGATATATTCTTACAGTATTTTATTTTAATTATCTGTACCCAAGTAGGTGGTCTGTTATTTGCACATTTTCTCATGAATATAATTATTGTGTCATAATGAGATTTGGAGGGTTGAGAGAGTGAGAGAGAAAAGAAAAAAAAAATTCAGTTGTCCATCAAAAACAATAAGGATCCCCTGCTGTCTTGACTTTAGATCAAAGCAACACTATAAACAATTACAAAGTAATTTCAGGGAGAGATGAGTTTTCAGAGAATCCAGTAATGAACCAGATAGACTTTGTGAAGTGAAGAGCAGAAAGATAAAATGAGAGAAATAAAAGAAAATAGGTTTAGCTGCACACCTTTTTTTTTGATAAATATAAAAAAATCTCAGGAAAACAAAAAGTTTTGCCACCTGCATCTTTCTTTTCTTGCCTCTTTGTAAAACCGGTGTATCAAGTAAGAGCAATGAACCATTATTGATTGCCCGCATTAAATTCACCTCAGTCATGGGGACGGTGTGAAGTGACAGAAAGGGATGCTGCGTCCAGAAAAGTGAAAAATATATTGAACAAAATAGGTGGCATGTCACCGCTCAATACCGGCCACAGACAGCAGCTGTAACCTTGTGGGTAGAGTGAGATACAAAAATAACGGCGCAGAAAACTTGACCTGAAGTGTGTATTCTTGTCCAACAACCAATATTTTATTGGACACTAAAAAACTGTCAGAGTACCTGACCAATCAGCCCTTAAAAAGAAAAAAAAATCCACTCCACCTTTATTATTTCAAAAAAAAGGGAAACCTACCAAGCCAAAACTCATCCTCCAGATTTCCAAATCCAACTCGATAGTCGCTCCACTTCCTGGAGAAGTCTGTCAGGCCATTTTGACGGCGTTGGAATACCTAGACACCAAAATGATGAACATCAAAACAATTAAAAACATGTTAGATGTTTAAACCAAAGCAGACTACATGTTGTTTTAGGTCACTAAAGCTCAGTCTCTGCCATGCAACTTTTCTCAAATTACAACAACAAAAAAGGGCAATAAAATGTGTTATCTTTCTGGATGACTTACAATCCAGCCTCCTTCATCTGTGGTCATGTCACAGTACACCTGCACACCCTGGCTCGGGTCCCTGTTGATGTAAATTGTGTAGACGCCACTCAGAGTCTCTCCGTTCAGCAGGTGTTGGGCACAGTTCTGAGGTGTTGCAAACAGACGACTCCCTGGAGACGACGAGTTACAACACATTTAATTGGCTCCTTTGCTTTGATTTGGTTCAGTTTGAAAAAAGAAAAAAAAACACAACAAGCTGTTGCAACAAAACATCACACACAAGGTCCGACCAAAATGGTTTTAGTTCTGTTATTTCTCATCATAAGATGAGTTTCAAACTCTGGCATGAAAGGGAGGACAGCAATAGATATTCCTTTAAAGGGGACATTTCATGGAAAAATCCACTTTTTTAGCCTTTTTGTTTCTCCTGGTGCTGTGTAGACACCGTTGTATTCTGTTTGGGCCATATTTTTCAAGCCGTTCAATCTTCTCTATTCCCTATTATGTTTTTTGAACAATAATGGTAAATAAGGTCATGGACCTCCAGCTAACCAATTTTACAAATCTGCTGTTCTGCAGGTTTGTCATCTTCATTCTCCTCTCTCTCTGGGTCAGGCTCTGGCTCTAATATGTAAGGCTGGATGGATATGTCTTCTGTTGTTGACGTCTTTTAATCAGTTTGTTTATAAAAAGTTTCTGTACTGCTAGATAGTCGCACCTCTGCTATCAAAACATAAAAATGGCCGACCAAATTGAAGTGGGGCGGGGTGTAAAGCGCCTCATTTGCATTTAAAGAGAAAATACCAAAACGAGTTGCTCTCAGGACAAAGTTGAAGGTGGGGCTTGTGGAGCTACGATAATGAGTAATTCAGACTAAATTATTACAGATAGCTGATATGAACTCTTTTATATATATATACATTTTTTTTCAATGATGAAACAGGGTTGTCTGACAAATGACCCWACTGTTTCATGAAGCAGAACAAAGCTCCAAAAACAAGCAAATCCACAACAGAATTACTGAAAAAAACGAATCAATGCACTGCAATAATTTAGGACCTGACTTTAAAAAAATACTGTGACTGTAAAGAAAAAAAAAAGTCCTCTTAATAAATAAAAAAGCATGAAAGCCCAAACTGAACAAACTTGTTAAGTTCTCTCTGAATGAAATAAATGATTATGTCCAGTTACTCAAAGCCTTAAAGTGAAGAGTAATGTGCTTTCCATTAGTCATAATTGTACACAAGGTCACTGTATATTTAGCTTAAAATCCTCCACCACCCTTCAAAAAAATGTGCAGCCTCATTGTGAGTCTTCTGCAAAGGGCTATGGGCAGGAATGGAAATTACTTCTGTCTTTAGGGACTGAATGTCGTGTATTTTTGTTCTGTGTTGACTTTAATACAACATCCAGTAAATCTCTGGGGCTAGGAACACACAGCTGTCATGAATTGTTTTTCTAAGACTAGTTCAAACGTGTGAATCCTGTACCTGTGGTAAAAGTGGTGGAAACCACAGCGCTGGTATCGAGTCCTCTTGCAGCCTGAAGTTTGACGGAGTACTCTGTCGTCTCAGCCAATCCCTCCAGCCGAACCCAAGTATCCTCTGCATCAAGGATCAGCTCCTGGTGAACACACAGGCCCGAACTCATGAACACATAAAAATATATATAT